TCGCAAGAAGAGCCGTTTCTCAGAACACCAAGTCCCAGCATCCTGGCGACGCTGGCGTCAGGCGACAGGGCCGCCACCCGTTTGCGTGTCCTTACCTGGGCGCTGCTCGCGCTGCTCCGCCTGGGCCAGGGGGCCAGGCACAGGGGGGTCAGATGGGCTGCGAGGAGATGGTTGCTCCTCCCGTTCCTGCAGGAAACAGGGGCAGAGGCGCGGTCAGAGGGCGGCACACCCGCGAGGCCCCCCATCCCGCGTGCCCTGTCTCCTGGACCCCCCGCTTCCTCCCCGGGCTGAGCTCGTGAACTCTCTGAGGACAGGCGTGGAGATTCGCCAGAGCAGGGGCAGTCACCCTGTGGAAGGCGCACCCTGATGCCAGGGGCGGGAGAGGGACAGCCCCTCCGGGCCTGCGGACTTAAGGGCCCTCTCCCCACAGCCGTTCGAGAAGAATTATGGTCCACGGCTGGGTTTTAGCAACGGACAGACACAGCCTTCCACGGAGCACGGACATGTTTTCTGTCACCATGGCTGGCCCTTAGGGCCCAGCGGCCTGCTCCCGGGGACCAGCACGGAGGGTGGCTCACTGCCCCCCTCCAAGAGCGTGAGGCGCTCGCTGGCTCTTTCGGATCTGGGTGTGAGGACGCAATGGGCGCCCCAAGCCCAGGGCTCTGGGAGAGGCTGCTCGTGGGGTTACCACAAAGCCAACGAAAGAGGCATCGAAACGGCCGCAAACCGAATGGGGCCTGTCAGTGGGCACCAGGTCAGCAGGGACTAGTGGGCGGGGCGGGGGGACCAATTTGCTCTCATGGATTCCAGGAATCCTTGGATTTGGTGCTCACTGAGACTCAACTATTCCTCCTCCTCACGCGTGCGAGGGGGGAGACGGGGCCAGGGGAGAACCTGACGAGCTCGGGGAGGCCAGCGTGGTGGGCCCTATGCACTCAGAGACCAAGGCCACCACGGAGGATGGTCTGACCGCAGAGCCCCTAACCAGAAGCAAGCACGCTCACCCTAGGCATGTCGCTTCCTTGACCAAGGCCGGCTTTTCCCTGTGAAATCGGCTTTGTGCGCCTAAGATAACGTACCTGTAAAAAAATGTCAGAGTACTCTTCTTCTCCCGGCCGCTCAGGGCACAGCCTCCGGCACCAGAGCGCGAGGCCACAGAACCCCTCACTGCTCTCTTGTCTCCTGAATACCATCTCCATTTGCTGGCGCTGCTCGCCTGCTCTCCTGCTCGCCTGCACACCAGCGCAGAGAGGGGTGTCCTCGGGGTTGCCTTCGATCTAGCCCCAGAGATCGCCCCCACCCGCGCTACTTCCTCCCGCCCCTACACCTGCCGCTGATGGACTTCCACCTACACCCCCTGATGCCTCCTGCGTTGAGTCTCAAGTGTAAAAAGACGCTGAGGCGGCCCTCCTCTGGGTCTGCTAAGACTCTGCTTCCTGGCGATATCGCCAGTTTGGCTCAAAGAAGCTCATGCCATTCTCTACAGATCTAGATGTTTCTGACGCCGACAGTGCCACCCACAGAGCAGGACGCTCCCCCAGCCACCCCCGCCCCCTCCCCCG